CAATGAAAAGTAAAAAACTGCAGATTGTCTCAATCTAAAGCCATTTAAAAAATAATTCAGTTCATTTAAATCATTTCAAGTCATCCTGCATCTTTGGATAGTTTGATTATTAAAATGAACAACTAGCAAAACTATAAACAAGCCGGCGTTCTTTTCTGTCTCTGTTCTCGTCAGTGGTTTGCGGCGTACAATACAACACAAATTCTATTTCTATAGCACATTTAAAACAACTGCTGTCGACCAGTGCTTGCCAGCATCAGTACATACAGTCACACAACTACACATTGAAAATTAAAACCTGAGCACTCTAATCAATTCTAAAAGCTCTACTAAAAAAGGTACGAATTCAATCTAGACTTAAAAGCATGCACAGATGGGGAAGATTTAATATGCATTGGAAGAGGAGTGTTTGTGAAGATGAAATTGCTATCTCAAGACGTCTCACCGGATGTCTCTCTTGTCCTGCAGACAGACGGGCAGGTCTCGGAGCGGGACGCTGGGGTTCCAGGAGACTCTGTCCAGCAGACTCTGATCCTGATCATCTGCGAGGGTTTCTGCGTGAAGCCGCCGATGAGCCTGTGAGCTCGGCAACAGGCCAAATATCTCCGTCTGATAGTATTCACACGAGTCTCTGGACAGATCCGAGCTCCAGCTCTCCGCTGCGTCAACAAACATCAGCATTCATTAAAACACTGGCAAAAATAAAGGGGTTTTGCAGCGATTCTTTAGAACAGAGATGCTCAAACCAGGCCCAAACGCTGACCTTTGATGACCTTTGATTTGCAAGAGCGGGGGAAAAATAGGACAAATGTGCCATTGTAGCATATTTAGATTTTTGTTTTAGCATTTTAAATTAATTTTTGTAATAAAGTGTAAAAAGCAGTATAAAAATTGATACATTTTATGTTGATACATTTTATTAAATGTGAAAATAAAATAAAAAATAACAAAGCTGGATACAACGCAACATTTACTTTTGGCCCACAGACCTCAATCGAGTTTGATTTTTTGGCCCTTCATATTATTAAAAGATTTGAGCATCTCTGCAAACGAAGAACCATTTTTGGTTCCCCTAAGAACCTTTCAGTGATCTGTTTTTAAAAGAAGCACTTTTTCTTAGTCTGAAGAACATTTAAAAGATCTAAAGCAGGGGTTTTCAATCTTTTTAGATGCCATGAACCCAAATATGATCATCCTAGTGCGAGCTCAGGAACCCCTGGCCGAAAAATTTAAATAAATAAAAAACATTTGTATTGTTTCTTCCATAAAGACACAATTTATACTGTGAAAAACTAATATTATAAATATATCAAAAATATTTTTTTGGCAAATATTGACCGTAGTTTCCATTTAGTTACATTATTACATTTTTTCTCTTATTATAGTACTGTACTGTTATAGTATTGAATTGATGTATTTATTTATAACTTTTTATTTATTTACTTCACTCTAATTTTTATTTATTTGTTTGTTTTAATCTATTTATTTATTTGAATATTTTCTGTTTATTTTAATCTTATATTTTATTATTTATTTACTTATTTATTATTATTTACTTATTTGTTTATAATTTTTTTTTTATTTACATATAAGATTTATGTGGTTTCGAATTGGCACAATGTGCTTGGAGAGAAAAATATAGTCAGAAAATAGAATTACTTAGAAACTATGCATGCACTGTTTTTAAATTTTTATTAATACATTTTTTTACACTTTCTCCAAACATTTCCAACCCCAGTTTGAAAACCCCTGATCTAAAGATCCTTTTGTGCAATGAAGAGTTTCCATGCATGTTGAAGGTTCTTTAACGCCAATGAAGAGCCTTTTTTAAAGCATTGTGAAGAGTGCAGATGCTCTCAGACACATTAAGAAACCAAATCCTGATCAAAAAGTATTTATGAAGACACTATATTTCTAAGTTTTTGATTTGAAAAGCAGTTTCAAAAAAGCGAGCAAAAAAACCCCAAAGAGTTGTGATGTATTTCTACAAACCAACCAACCACAGGAGGAGGAAGTCAGGTCTAAATCATCATGCATAAATGATTCAGTGTCATATCAGATGTATAATGATGACGGAACATGTCTCAATAACTCATACCTGAGGTCAGTCTGTGGAAGTTTGGCGTCCCGTCTTCTTTCTCCATCATGCGTCAGTGAGTCGAGGCCTTACACACACAGAGACGGACGGATGGAGTCGAGTGTGCAGCAATGCTCTTCTCTTTAGCACTTCTGTGTGTGAGTTTGCAGGAAGTCATGTGATGAACGAGTGGGTGTCGCATCAGAATGTGAGAACATGAAGCTCTCAGACGTCTGAGATGAGCAGTATATCAGGCAGAAGAGACGAGCGACGGATCTCTGGACTCTTACACTCTCCGCTGCACTCTCAAACATGCTGGGTTGCTTCAACACAACTTTGGGTCAAATATGGACTAACACAACTTTTGGGTTAAAAATGTAATTAAAAAATGTAACCCAACAGCTGGGTTAGTCCATATTTGACCCAAAGTTGGGTTGAAACAGCCTTTACACATTTACACAGTCATTCACGATCATAAACAATCATTTAGATTTAGATTCAAGTCAGATTTGAGTTTATTTAACTTCCAGTCTTTTGGGTTTTTATTAAGAAGACAATACATAATGGTGCATTTAATGAAAAATAAAAAATACAGATTGTCTCAATTTTTTTTGTACAATAACTTTTTATTGTTTTACATTGTCTCAATTTAAACCCACTCAAAAATTCCAGTTTCTTTCTTTCATTTTAATTGATTTTATTTTTGCATTTTAATTCAAGTTTGAGTTACATTAGATTTTATTTTACTTTAATAAATAGTATATTCAATGAAAAAAAATGCTCTCTCAATTCACACCCACTCATTTATTATTTTTATTTACGTATTTATTTATTTATTTTATTTTAGTATTTTAATTTTGGCTTCAGATACATTTTATTTTACTTCTAATCTTTTTATTCGAATCTTATTTTATCAAGACAATAAATAATAAATGTATAAAAATATGTAAAAATAGTCACAATTTAAACCCACTCAAAAAAAAATCCAGTTTATATCTTGATTGATTGATTTTTATTTTTTTTTTCATTTTTATTTAGGCTTCAGTTACATTTTATTTTACTTCTAATCTTTTTATTGGAATTTAACAAGACAATAAATAATAAATATATAAAAATAGCCACAATTTAAACCCACTCAAAATAAATCCAGTTTTTATTTTGATTGATTGATTTTTTTTTTTTTCATTTTTATTTAGGCTCGTTACATTTTATTTAATTTCTAATCATTTTATTGCTATTTAACAAGACAATAAATATTGGTATAATCAACAGAAATGTTTAAATGACAGATTTCTCAATTTAAACCCCCTCCAAAATTCCAGTGTATGCATCCAGTGTTCATTTATTGATTGATTGATTGATTGATTGATTGATTTGTAGCTTTCTTCTGTTCAAACTGAGTTTGATTGGTTCCCACACATGCTGACCAACACATTTAAATGACTTTTTCAGTCATCCATGATTATAAGCATTTTTAAAAAATAATTTTATAGTGACTACATAAAGCAATTTCTAGCCAAGCTATAAAATGTATATTTAGTTCAACATTTCTAAAACTTTTAACGTTTATGCATTTGGCAGATGCTTTTAATGTTAAATTTCAAATAGCAGTGAATGTAAAGTCTTTGATCAGTTCATTCCCTGGGAATCGAATCCATGATCAAATGTTATAAATGCACTTATATCATCTAAATTTATTTTGACATATCTTGATTTTTATGTGTGGGATCCTTCCAGTCTCTTAATGTAGCTAAACTAATAAACATGCATTATTTTTGCTGTCGTGAGCTCTTAAGTGCTATTATGCTGCATGATTGTGGTTGATTTTATTGTCTACGCATTTATGGAAAAGCTGCATCACGTTATTACTAAAGAATCTCATGTCACACAAACAATCTTGAGCAACATAAACTAAACCGCATTGTGTAGAAGAGCTGTTTCACGCACATCCTCCTTCTGTCATGCTGAGAATCAACTTCCTCCATCTGCATCGATGAACAATAATAACACCGACCACACAAAAGCATCGGAACGGGGACTGAGTTCTTTCTGATTCTGAACTGAAGCTGCTGAGTTCTGTTTTATAATCACAGTTGAAAGGGTAGAGTTGTAGCTTAAACCTTCTTTGTTATGCAGTAGGAAGTGTTAGAACACATTTAAGACAGCAGTCTTAAGTCGCTGGGGTATATTTGTAGCAATATCCAACGATACATTGTATGGGTCAAAATTATAAATTGTTCTTTTATGCCAAAAATCATTAGGATATTAAGTAAAGATCATGTTCCATGAAGATGTTTTGTAAATGTCCTACTGTAAATATATCAAAACTTAATTTTTGATTAGTAATATGCATTGCTAAGAACTTCATTTGGACAACTTTAAAGATGATTTGCTCAATATTTAGATTTTTTTGCTCCCTCAGATTCCAGATTTTCAAATAGTTGTATCTCAGCCAAATATTGTCCTCTCCTAACAAACCATACAGCTATGGAAAGTGTATTTATTTATTTATGACTGGTTTTGTGCTCCAGGGTCACATTTAAGTCTATGATTTGTGTGGGAACACTTTTAAGTGCCCTCTGATTGTTTGTTTTGATGTGTTTTACTGAAGCCAAAGGTTCAATGCATCGGCTCATACCATTTTTAAATTACTGAGGTCGTTCAAACTTTTGTGTGTAATTTAGTTCATTGGTGTTCACGTTAATATTATCCCCTGCTGACACAATACTTATTTAACGCTTATGTGAACATAAAAATACCATAGAAAGTATTTAGCGTGTTTCATGAGGTGATAAATCATTTAACCCCCCCTACGGAAACTAAAGTGACTCAGTCCTAGTTAACGTTCCAAACGATTTGAACCTGTTCTTTTTTATGATTCGTTTGAACCAATTCGCGAACAGCGCTGTGGAAGGAGTGAGAGTCGGTTGAATTGTCGGACCGAACGAACCGATTCGCGGAACTGATTCAGATTGTTGTCGGTAGTCAGTCAGAAGTTTTTCGGAGTGTTTGTACGGTGATCCGCCGAGCTCAGCGGTGAGTTACAGATTATTTACTTGATTTATTTATGACAATCAGAGATTTAATAGAGTTTTGAAGAGAAACTGTCGTGATAAAGTTGATATTAGAACATGAGCGAGTCAACCAGGCGCGTTTGAACAACTCCGTTTGAACTTCGGCAGGTGTAAAAACAATAAAATCTCCTCAGTTTAGCGTCAAAATCACGTTTGTCACATGTTTCGTGTTTACAGGGAACTGAATAATCAAACACTAGACATTTTAAACCTGGAGAACAAATATGAAACCGTGATTGTATCCGATCCTATAGTACTTATGTATAACGTTACTGAATTAGCATCACATTCATATAACTTAGCATGATAACGTTATTTATGAGATACCTAAAAATACTATGGTGTTGTCATTGTACCTTTCAAAAACAAAAACAAAAACAAACATGATATTTCCAAGGTACTTGTCCAAAACATTTTATTTTTCGCTTCTATTTTGTCACTGTCTTGAACCCAAACTGTCTGATTCACTGGCTGTGTCTTAAAACCTGGTTTTTGTATATCTGAGGTATATTGGGTTACTATAGAGGATTTTTGATGCCTATGTAGGGAGCTCACTAGGTTTGAAACAACCATGTAGTTTGGTTACAGTTCAGTTTGTTGCAGATTTGACCAAAACAAACAAAAACATGGTACTTTTTGCTTCTCTTTTGCATTTCTATTATGCACAGACATATTGCCTATGTAGGGAGCATACTAGGCTTTGTCACAGATTTCAGATTTGTAGTGAATTTGAATGAGGATTTGCCATGGTAATGTCATTGAACCTTTACAAAAGCATGGTATTTCCATGGTACTTGTCCAAAACATGGTAAAAAATTTTTACTTTTTGCTTCTGTTTTGTTAGCGTCTTGAACCCAAACTGAGTGATTTACTGGCTGTGTTTCAAAACCTGTGTTTGGATTTTATGATGCACAGAAGTGATGTCTAGGTAGGGAGCTCACTAGGTTTTGAAACAGCCAGAAGTAATATTTGTCACAGATTTGTAATGAGTTTGAATGAGAATCTGATATTTGCCATGATATTGTCAGTGTACTTTTCCAAAAAAGCATGCAAATGCCATGGCACATGACTAAAACGTGGTAAAACCATGGTACTTTTTGCTTGTTTTCTTTTGCTTTAGTGCATACTGATCTATTCATTGGCTGTGTCTCAAAACCTGGTGTTTGTGTACAAGACTCCGTCCGTATCAGAAGTATTTGTAGGGAGTTTAGAAACAGCAGTTCATTTTCATCTGATATTTAGGGGAATGACATCAGAATGCAATTCATCTGAAATGTGAAAGGGTGCGATTGTGTTTTATTTTGAATGAATTCTGGCAGATATTATGTCATTTGTCATGCGCTGTGACACGGAACACAGCAAGCCCGTTGTGCCTCTGATTGTCTTTGAAGGTGAATTGTTTCTCAGGGTATTTTTGGAGATTTTCCTCTCTGCTCTTTCACCCGCTATGTGCTCCAGATGTGTTGTGAACTGGACAGAACTCTCAGAGATGTTTCGGTATAACATGACCGTACAGGACCGGCCGGTTCTTCACTTTTGCTCTAGTTCCAGATGTGCCAGTGTAATCTGAGCTCTGTTTCTTTGTTTGCTGTTCTCACACAATGACCGCGTCTTGTATAAATCAAATCGCATTTTAGTCCCCTAGAGAGTCGTATCCCTTCACAACACTCCCACACTCATAATCAGGATCTCAAATACAGTTCAACAGCTGTCTTGCATTTACATTCATGCGTTTGGCTGATGCTTTATCCAAAGCGACTTGAATTCAGAATCAAAGCCATGATCTTCATCTGGATGCGTAGTGTGCATACACGAACAGAATCACAGAATAGAATTTACTGTATGAGGATTTTATTACATTTTAAAAGATTAATTAAATAGTTTTTTTGGATTACCACAATTTTTATTAACTTATTTTCTAAATGAATTAGACATGCATTTTTGATGACTAAATTTAACAATTAAAATGGAATCCAGAAAAAAAATATTTTTAGCGTTTTAGTTATTTATCGTTAACTAAAACAAAAAAAAAACATTTTTGTTACTTGAAATAAAGCTAAAATAAAATATGAATATTAGGTGAAAATTACTAACTGCAAATAAATAAAAAAATAAAACTGAAATAAAAATAAATTAAACCTAAATAGACCTAATATACCTAAAATGACAATGATACTTAACAAAATGACAAAAAATTTAATTAAAATAAAAAATATAAAAATAAAAGGTAATTAAAAATATTGATGATAACTGTGATAGTATATAAATAATAGTAAAAAAAAAAACACTGGCTAGTAATGTAATGATAATAAGTCATCTTTGTTTTATTTACAACTTTGAAAAATAATTTTTGACCTGTAAATAATGTAATGTTTACTTTATTAAAATATAAAAACCTTACTATATTTATGATGTTAATAACTGGAGAAACGCATTATAACAGTCTGTGAACGGAGTTGATGGCAGTGAGTAACAGTCTTATGTAGGGCTGGGTATCGAGTTCAATACTTTTTAGGCACCGACTGAATTGCCTCGATACCATCGAGTATCGAAAAACGTCTCGTCGTTCGGTACCAAATTTCGATACCTAAGGGGTTAATCTCATCAGCGTCAGTGAGCCAATAAGCCTGCAGCACACGACAGATCGATCAGTGTTTGACATCCGCGAGAGCGATTCGAAAGCGCACGGATCAGTCTGCTCTCTCTCTCGGTCTGCACAGTCGGTCCGCGTCAAGTCGAACACGCCTGCTAGTTTACACCGGTTACACTCAGAGATGTGGTGCACACGTATTTGCAATTATTTATTCTGTTGGTTACATTTTGTTCCTTTGTGCAGTGGCTCACAGTCTTTGAGTTTGTATAAACATCAACAAGCTGAAAAATAAAACCAAAGTTTTTTTTAAATTTTTTTTTTAGATAATGTAATCTTGTTAAAATTGATCTCATAAAATTGGTATCGAAAAATGTATCGTTCAGGAACCGGTATCGAAGTCCAGGTATCTGTATCGATATTGAAAATTTTTGAACGATACTCAGCCCTAGTCTTATGTGATTAGTACATCTGATGATGATGATGCTGTCATTAGTATATTTATTGTCAGTTTTCCTAGAAGGTAAAGAGAACTTGTTTACATCTGCGAAACGTGTGTTTTGGTGAACTATCAGGAGGACATGAGCATACAGATGAGCTCAGAGCTAAAAGACACCTTAAAGATGAGACTGAGATGTGTGTGTTAAATGCTGCACAATAAAATGGAGTTTACTGAATTATAATTCAGGGAAATTCAGCAGGCAACGGCATTCTGGGAAATGAAGTGGTCTGCAGTTCTGCATCCTGTTTGCTGTAGTCACGTTTATTTCTATAGCGCTTTATGCAATACAGATCAGCTTCAAACATTAAAATAACTCTGTTAATAATGCAAAATTCGTCAATTATGACCGACTTCAGTTTCAGCTGTAAAGCAGCTCTGCAGAAGATCATATCGTCATTATTAAGTTCAGTAACAGTGTCAGCGTTACAAAAGTTCATCACTAATGAAACTGAATTGAACTGGAGTTTAAAAACAGAAAGAATAGAAAGTCATCAGGAGAATCTGATGAAGCGTGGTTGCTGGAGTTTGTGGTTGATAAAGTGTTTAAACAGATGATTGAGATGACGAATCAGTGTGTGTGTGTGTGTGTGTGTGTGTGAGAGAGAGTGTGAGTGTGTGTGAGAGTGAGTGTGTGTGAAGAGTGAGTGTGTGTGAGTGAGTGTGTGTGTGTGTATGAGTGTGTGTATGAGTGTGTGTGTGTGTTTGTGTGTGAGGGATGGTTTGAGATCTTTAATGGAAAGCTTTTGAAATGTCTTCTGACCACAGTGATGTCAGTGCCAGGAAAACACATCTCCACCCACCGTACACACACACACACACACACACTCTCTGCTTCTCGTTTCCTTCGAGAAGTTCAGTGTTTCCAGCCGTTTGTGTTTGTAAATCATTACACAAGTGTCTTTTATTAAGAAATAAAGCATTTTCAATCATTCTCTGCCTGTTCTCATGAGTGTGATTGGTGTTGTTTGATAAAGTCTCTTTGTTAAGATAATTTATTCATCGTATGTGTGTGTGTTTATGTGCAGTTTTAAAGGGCCAGCAGCCGGTTTTGCTGTAGGCTAGTGTTCATGTGGTTTTGAATCAGATGGTTTGCGTTAAAATCATGATTAAAGTTGCCGACGCAAATATGTTTTTAATTTAATTCAGTTCGGTCTGTAGCTGTTGTGTGGTGAATCTCTGCCAGCTTTCAGTCAAACTGACTCCATGATGAACCAGCCAGTGTTGGGAAGGTTACTTTGGAAATGTAATAGGTTACAGATTACAAGTTACCCTATTTAAAATGTAATAGTAGTGTAACTTTTTCAATTACTTTATTAAAGTAATGTAACTGATTACTTTTGATTACTTTCTGATTACTTTTCTAAATTTCTAATGAATGTTTATTTGCAACTGTTAATAATGTTCAAACACCTACACCATGCAGGGTTAACCTTAC